TCACTTCCCCCCCCCCCCCCCCCCCCCGCACAGACAAAAGGATTCTACTGCTGGCTGCTAAGAACTAAGAAGGGCTTTCAAACAGTCCCAACTGTTTTCTGAGTTCAAATTTTCATCATGACTAAGAATATTATTAATTCACTAATGATACAGAATTTCAATATCCAGAGTACATGGAGACTTTTCGAAGCAAAACTGTGAAGCCTTTCACCTAGACTCATGATATGAAGCTCAAATTTCAGAAAAACAATCTAACCAAAGGAAATGATTTAATTAGGGCCAGGAGAAACTAGATAGCTTGCAACCAAACCCTAGTGGAAAGACTTGACTGAGCTTAATTAGAAATTTGAAGATTGTCTTTCCTCATTTGAATGATACATTCAAGTCCCCTGTGTCCTTTTACTCTATAAAATCTAATAGGCAAAGTCAAATAAGAGCAGAGTTATTATTGTAAACTGAAACTTGATATTTTTCACTGAAGGAAAAGGAAAACGTACAAGATTTCCTTTAGAAAGTTTTAGACTCCTGCAATTCAAATGGAATAGATTTGGAAATCTTACAGACTTTGATGTTTTCTATATCCCAAAGTGTCAGAAAAGGTATCACTAAACCTCAAAAGAAAAATAATTTTAATCCAGTCTAAAAAGCAAATTAAAGAATATGCTTTTTAGGAAAGCTGAGGTTATTACTTATTTTAATCAAATAATGAAATACCAAGAATCACAAGAAATAATCCCTGAACATACCTTCTATATTCAATTCAACCTTCATCTGACTTCAAATTCTAAACATTTTGTGCATTCAAAACCATATTTTTAAACACAATGCCAAGTGTATTCCAAGCAGGAATACTGTACCTTATATATAATCATTATAAAAAAAGGGCCAAGTGCCCATTATATAAATTATAGAATAATATATACTTGAAATAGATATTAATAAGAAAAGACAAGCCCCCTGACTTTATAAAACATCTTCTAAAATTAAAATACTGATATACAAACACAGCAAATTATTACAGAGTGATTTGGACAAGGAAACATATTCCCAGAGCACAGTACAGTGGAAACACCAGTGTGCTGTGTGTCTGAAGACCTACAGCCTTCCTGCCTTCATGGATTGCTGGCTATGTAGTCTTCAATAGTTTCAACCAGTTCACATCTGTAAAATGATGATGGTACCCTCTAAGTACTATAACTACATAATATTAAACTTTGGTGAAACATATGAAAGCAGCAGGCCTTAACACACACAATGATGAAAAATTAATGTGTGTGTTTTGCTGATACTGGGAGTTTATCTTCATCTCCTTTACAGTGGGTCATTTGTGAAAGTTAAGTAAATAGTCATTTGACTTCTGCTTCTGTCATTCAATCAATAAAGGTCTTGCTGAAATCACCAATGGTCTCCTTGTCAATAAATTCAATGGACTTGTTTAATTGTTCACCCCTCTGACCACTCCCTCCTCCTTTAAGCCCCTGTCCTTTCGGCTTTTGTGAGACACTACTCTCTCCTGGGTTTTCTTCTTACCTCTCTAGGTATTTCTTCTCAGTCTCCTTTGCAAGCTTACCTTCCTCAACCCAGGAGATGTTAAATGTTGGGAGTTTCTCAAGACACAACCCCAAGCCGCCTTCCCTTTTCACTCTATACTTTCTGCCTAAGCAGTCACATCTATGCCCAGGGCTTTAATGACCACCAATATGCAGATGACCCCAAATGTTTACTTAGAAGCCCAGACGCCCTCTGGTCTTTTGAGGTTGCAGACCTGTGTACCCAACTGCCTTCTTGGATATCTCATGAAGGCACTTTAACTTGGATTTTCCTTCCCTTAAATATTGTCCTTTTCCCAGGGTTTCAGTCTCAACAAATGGTCCCATCATTTACTCAGTTACATAAGCTGGGGACTCAGAAGGCATCCTTGAAACTCCCCTTCTCTGTCACATCTATATCCAGTCCATCACTATAATTTGTAGAGTTTTTCTCCAAATAGCCTTTCAGTCTGCCCACTTCTCTCCATTTTTACTGTTACCAGTTCAAACCAAGAGTGAATTCAGATGACTCATTCCCACTTAGGTTACTGTTATAGGCATTCTTGACCCTCCAATTCATTCTCCACATTGCCACCAGACCAGTCTTCTCAAAATGCAAATTTGACCATGTCACTCAGCTCCTCCTTTAGCTCCACTCAAAACACTTAACAGCTTTCCCTCAGGCTGAACATAAAAGCCAACATCCTTAACGTGACTTATGAGGCCATGCTTAACCTAACCCCTCCATTTCCCTCCAGCCTCCTTTACGAACACATTCCCTAGTGCAGCTATAGCGCTACAGAGCACGTTGACCTTCTTTCAGCTCCTCAATCACACCATGCTCCCTCCCTCCAGAGCTTTTGCTCTTGCTATTCTCTCTGCCAAGAACACTCTCACCTCCCCTCCACTCCCTATTCAACTGATCCATTTCACCTACTAAATTCTGAAACCTAGCAGGATGCTGTGGGGCCTTCCCAGGGACAAAGCCCCCACCTTCTGTGTCCCCTGCCTATTGCTTGTAGGAAAGCTTTAGCCTCCTAGGTCTTCCCCGAGTTCCAAAGAGCAAATTTAATCAGAGAAGTGAGAAAATGCAAAAACGAAGGAAAACAGTCAAGCAAGACAAAATAATAAGAGTTTAGCCATAGGGCTTCCCTGGTGGTGCAGTGGTTAAGAATCCGCCGGCCAATGCAGGGGGCATGGTTCGAGCCCTGGTCCAGGAAGATCCCACATGCCATGGAGCAACTAAGTCCGTGCGCCACAACTATTGAGCCTGTGCTCTAGAGCCCATGAGCCACAACTACTGAAGCCCGCGTGCCTAGAGCCCGTGCTCCGCAACAAGAGAAGCCACAACGAGAAATCCGCGCACTGCAACGAAGACCCAATGCAGTCGAAAATAAATTAATTAAAAAAAAAAAAAAAAGAGTTTAGCCATAAAGCAAAGTCAAGAACTTTCAGTTCCTCTTCAAGGGCTAAAGATAATGTCCTGAGCCATATCCTTGAGTTGTTTTGCAGATACTAAAAGCCCCACCAGGTGGAGGAAGTTAACTGCATGCAGACCACAAGCATGTAGATCCCAGACAGGTTGGAATTAGAAGGTTGGTGACTGATATTCCCGAAACATCACCCTGTTACCTCAACATCAATGAAGCATAGAATCATACACGAGCTGATCATGCACCCTGCAACCCTCTCCCTCACACTGTCTTTAAAAACCCTTCCCTGAAAGCCATCGAGGAATTCGGTTCTTTTGAGCATGAGCTTCCCATTCTCCTTGCTTGGCCCTGCAATAACGGCTATACTTTCCTTCACCACAACCTGGTTTCAGTAGATTGACTTTGCTGCACATTGGGCAAATGGACGCAAGTTGGTTTCATAACAATTCCAACTCATTCTTCACATCTCAGCTCAAATCTTCCCTTCTTCAGCAAATCTTGACACACACCTCCATCCTCACCCTCATTAAAAGTTCTCATTGTACCATGCACCTCCTTAGTAGCACTGACTAAATGTAAATTTATACTTATTTCTGTGACTATTTGGTTAATGTGTATCTTCCCCATTAGATTGTAAATTCCAAGGTTTTGCTCAACATCAGTCCTCTAGTGCCCAGCACATAGTAAGTTCTCAAAATACTTGAATTGAAGAAATTATATATAAATTTACAAATATGGCAAATATTTAAAAATCCATAAAACCATTATTTTAAACACTTCTTTTAGAATTAACAGGAAAAATAGGAGTGATGCAGGGAAAAGAGAAAGAAGAGGCATGTACTCCTATTTATTTTGTCTCCTAAATTCGTTTGGTTAAAGCCTAGGCACCATCCCTAAGTTACAATGACTTAATAGCAATAATAGCTTGCATTTCTGGAGCACCTTTCTTCCCAAGGGCTCCTGTTGCTTGCAGACAGATCTCAGTGTCACTTTAGGGTCATATTTTTAAGAAACTATGTTTTTAACCAAGCCTAGTAAGTTTTCTATGAGAAGATGTCAGGTCTTCTTCCAAACACCCAGTTTTTTTTGTTTTTTTGTTTTATCTCACTTCCTTAACACAACCCCAAGATACCACTGGCAACAAAAGTAGCCTTGTCTTTGCATGAATTCTGAGAAGGAGCCCTTTGGGGTGGTTGTTTTAGCTAACGTTTATTGAGCACTTACTCTGTGCTAGTCCCTGAGCTAAGCCCTGTGTATACATTATCTTGTTTAATCAAAGACCCTCAGCTGGGGCTTCCCTGGTGGTGCAGTGGTTAAGAATCTGCCTGCCAATGCAGGGGACACCAGTTCGAGCCCTGGTCCCAGAAGATCCCACATGCCACAGAGCAACTAAGCCTGTGCACCACAACTACTGAGCCTGTGCTCTAGAGCCCGCCAGCCACAACTACTGAAGCCTGTGCACCTAGAGCCTGTGCTCCGCAAGAAGAGAAGCCACCGCAATGAGAAGCCCACGCACGGCAAGGAAGAGTAGCCCCACTCACCACAACTAAAGAAAGCCCGCTGTCAGCAACAAAGTCCCAAGGCAGTCAAAAGTAAAATAAATAAATTTATAAAAACCCTCAGCTGGCCCCTTTCTCTCATAAAGAAGTCAATAAAGAAAGTGTATTTGGACGTCCAGCGTGAGGCTGCCAAGGCCACACGGCCACTCAAGGCCCGCCAGAGACAAGGGATAGGGAAGCAGGTCTCCGCCTTGACCCCCAAGCAGGTAAAGGTTCATTCCCAGGGCCCCCTGCCCCATGTCGCTTACCCTCCTTGCTCAGCGAGGGCAGCGTGTGCATCACGTGCCTGCCTAGGTCCTGCAGGGAAGGGACGACGGTGTCCAAAATCTCCAGTCCCCAGTCGGCTGGGTCTTCAAAGTGTCCCTTTTCTTCCTTCTTTATATGGAGTTTACACAAACGTGATTTTCCCACTCTCCTGGGAAATTTGGATGTGTCTTAAAAATAAAAATTACCAAATCTTGATTTTTTTTTTTCTTTCTTACACTTTTTTTTCTCGCCGTCCCTCCCCCACTCTGGCTCTCCCGGAAAGGCTCCCACTACAGTAACTCAGACAGCTGTCTGGCGCTTGAATCGCTTGAATCAGAAAGTGCAAATCCAAGCCCTCGGGACCACCAAGTGGCCCAGTGAGAGTGTATGCCGGAGCGGTGAGCAAGGTAGGGGGACCGAGGGAGGGCAGGCCAATCAAGGGGAGGGAGGAGCGTGTTGCTAGGACGCGACAAAGGCTTGCTCCGTTGCCAGGGAGTCAGGGTAGGGCCTCGGCCCCGCCCCCTTAGGTGGATCGAGTCGGGTCCCAGGTGGCCCGGGTGATCCCGGGAAGAGATTGGGAAGTAACTTAATGTTTCTAAACTTTGTTTTTTCCTTTACCCTCTTACCCTGAGCAGCCAAGAGACTTGGTCGCTTTTGTAATCACCTTGGACAAAATCTGGGAAAACCTTTTGCCCCTAGTGATGGACTTTTGAGTCTCTGGGTCTGTTTGAGGGTTTGAGTGTGAGCTGGAATTTGTTTCTCGGGTTTGATTTTTCCTAGGCTCCCCTCATAGGAAATGGAGGGCAGGAGGTTTGGGGAGGGAGCTGACTTTTTTTTTTTTTCATTACAGTCCTTTTCCCCCCTTCCTTTTACACTTAACCAATCTCATCCTGTAGAATTGTTTTCATACTCTCTCCTCTGCTGATAATGAATTATCACAAAGCAAACACACCCATGTAAACCCCATCCAGATCAAGAAATAGAACTCCATCAGTAGCACAGAAGCGCACTTCATTCCCCCACCAGGCATTATTCCAACAAATACTATAAATTAGTTTTACCTGTGTTTGAACTTTTGGAATCATACAGTATGTATTTTTCTGTGTGTGGCTCTGTCACTAAACGTTGTGAGATTTCTCCGTGGTTTCTGCAGTAGCAATTTGTTCATTTTCAATGTTGCATGTTATTCCTTTGTGTGACTATGGCACTATTTATCCATTCCTCTGTTGAGGGGATGTGAGTTGTTTCCATTTGGAGCCATTAGGAATAATGTTGCTGCAAACATTCTTGAACACAATTTTTGATGCACATATGTACTCATTTCTGATTTGTATATAACTAGGAGTAGATGACTGGGTCATGAGAAATGCAGATTTTAACAAATAATGCCAAGCGTATTTCTAAAGTGGTTGTCCCAATGGTGGGAGGGAAGAACTTCTGGCACATAGTGTGGGCAGAGACCAGAGATGCTCTGCAGCCTGCAATGCACAGGGCAGTCCTGCACAGTGAAAACTGTTCCACATTCTGCACCATTTTTCATATCTCATCAGACTTCCATGTAAGAAGGAAAAAAAAAAAGGCTGCTTATGAGCCTAGAAAAAAATCCACTTTACATATTAGTACGAAGAAATTTTTGTTCAATTTCAATATCACTTAATTTCCTAAGAATTTAAAACCCAAGTAAATTGGGGGAGACTATGCTCTTTTTCAGGATTTAAGAAGAATTCTTCACCAGTTAGGAAAATTATATCATCACCATCAGTTAGGCTGCTGGTAGCTGAGTAGCCAACACACCTGAACTAAGCTGCATTTGTAGCTGTTGCATTCAAAGTAATTCTTCCTATAGATAAAGCATGTGGTAACTTTATTTGCCTTCCAGCATAGTCATGCCTGGACATATACATGTTAAAATATGTATTATTTTACTATACAGTACTTACCTTTAATTTCTCTGATATACTAGAGTTATGACTTTATATTCATTTTAAATGGTATGCTGTATTATATGGTGTATTATCCATAAACCTCATCTCAGGATAATAAGAAGGCATTACAAAATATTTGTTATAAAAAAGAGAGCTTCCCTGGTGGCGCAGTGGTTAAGAATCCGCCTGCCAATGCAAGGGACACGGGTTCAAGCCCTGGTCCGGGAAGATCCCACATGCCACAGAGCAACTAAGCCCGTGCACCACAACTACTGAGCCTGCGCTCTAGAGCCCATGAGCCACAAGTACTGAGTCCGCGCGCCTAGAGCCCGTGCTCCACAACAAGAGAAGCCACAACAATGAGAAGCCAGCGCAACACAGCGACCAACTAGAGAAAGCCCGCACGCAGCAACGAAAACCCAATGCAGCCAAAAGTAAATAACTTAAATAAATAAATTTAAAAAAATTTTTTTAATTAATAAAAAGAAGAATTGTTCTATCTAATAAAACTGAGAACCTCTGTGCTAGAAAATGGCAAGCTCTATAACTCAGCCTCTTTCTCTCTCTACCTAGTTTACTAAGAAGCTCAGAACTAAGTTCTGGGCCTTTCTTAAGCTAATTTCTTGGAAAAAATAGGTTCCCCTCACCCTCCCTTTTACCGTCTGCCTTTTGTCCTTTAGTCTGCTGATGGTGTTGTGTCTTGAAGCATTTGTCCTTGCAGCATAGATGTCTCAAATCTTTTGGGGAAATAAGCAGAGAAGATTGCTAAATGGATCAGCAGCAAGCAAAGGGCAAAGTCTTTTGTGACATTTGTCTGAACAGTTGCCCAGCCAGCTATGTTTAGTGGCAATATCAGCATTATTGTTCTATCTTAAGATAATAATGGAATTGTAAAAATATATTAGTTTCCTAGAATAATAGATTCGATTTTGAGTGAATTATGGTGATGACAATTTTAGTCTCTAGAAAAGCTGTCTTCAGTTTCAGAAGACGGTTATGAATGACTGCTAATTATTAGTGAATTGTAGATGGCCAAAAGAGGATCTACAAAAGATAAAGACAAAGACCTTTCTTTCAAGGTCATCTTTTCCTTTTGTCAAAGGTCTCTTGACGGGCTTCCCTGGTGGCGCAGTGGTGGAGAGTCCGCCTGCCGATGCAGGGGACACGGGTTCGTGCCCCGGTCCGGGAGGATCCCACATGCCGCAGAGCGGCTGGGCCCGTGAGCCATGGCCACTGAACCTGTGCGTCCGGAGCCTGTGCTCCGCAACGGGAGAGGCCACAACAGTGAGACGCCCGCGTACCGCAAAAAAAAAAAAGGTCTCTTGACAAAAGAGGCTGTGGAAACACACACGACCCTGTGTTTATTAGCAACTTCCAATGAGCTGTTCATATCCTGAAACTACATACACTTCAGCTGAAAATAAAGCTTGAGCAAACTGTGCGATTCCACTGCTAATAATTCACTCTTTGGATATACCTGCATGATACATTAAAAAAAAAGTGTATGCAACATTGTTTGTAATGCTAAATCTCAGAATTAACCTAAGATAACCAGCATAGGGAACTAGTAAAATTATAAATCTGTACTTTGAAATACATTTTTAAGAGTTTGCTTAAAAGAAAGATTACATTTATGTGCTGATACTTTAAAAGTCTCAAGATTATTAAGTAAAAACCTGTTGCAGAATAGTATTTATAATATGATCCTATTTGTTCCAAAAACACATATATATGTAATTATACATGCATATTGATATATATATTAGTAAATGCATAGAATATTTGAGAAAAGAGACACAAAAAATATTAACAATGGTTATTTTTGGATACCGTGAAATTGTGTGTAGAAGTACGAGTTCAGAGAACCTTTCACTTTTCTCCTTTATTTACTGTTTACCAAGAACATGGATTACTTTAATAATATTTTAGAGATAATTTACCAAAGAAAGAGAGACAGAGAGAGAGGGGTACAGGCAGAGTGCAGAGATTCATGTAAACACTGAAACAAACAAACTGGGCCAAAGTTTTCCAAAGTATTTCAATGTACATATACCTTTCTGCAAGCTCCAACTTGCCTTGCAAAACCCACACTGAATGAGCAGTCGCTTTTACCCGGGTCCCAAAGCATACACAATATTTAGTGGCTCATATTCAGGGCAACTTAGAAACCTATTGAAAAAGAAAACATTTACAATACAATTTTAAAAACTGACAACACCAAATGCTGGCAAGGATGTAAAACAACATACATTGCTTGTGGAGGTTAAAAAGGAAACAACCTCTGAAAATTAGCAGTTTCTTAGGAATTTAAACATACACTTACCACATGACCCAGCAACTCCACTTTTAGACATTTACCCAAGAGAAATTTATGTCCACACAAAACTTGTCCACAAATGTACATAGCATCTTTATTCATAATAGCCAAAAGCAAGTACAACCTCAAATGTTCATCAACAGAAGAATGGAAAACCATTTATGCAATGGAATACAATGGAATACTAATCCACTGACACATACAGTAACATGGATGAATCTCAAAAACATGTTGAATGAAAGATGCCAGACACAAAAAAGTACATTCTATACCATTTCATTTTTTTGAAGTTCAAGACAGATCAAACTACTCTACAGTAACAGAAATTAGAGCAGTAATTGGTTATGAATGGTAAGGATTCACTGCAATGTGACATAAGAGAACTTTCTGGAGTGATGGAAATGTTCCATATCTTGACTGCGGTGTCGGTTCCAGGTGTATATTTTTGCCAAAACTTACAGAATTGTACACTTAAAACATGTGCATTTCACTGAGTGCAAGTCTTACCCCAATTTTTAAAAATGTAAATACAGACACTATTTTCACTGAAAAAAAAAATACATACTCTTGTTTTGATATTACACAGCACCAGAATAAAAATCTTCAATAAATAATTTAATCCATATCTATTGAATATCTAATTTGTATCAAGCGCTTTGCTATTTGCTAAGAGAAATACAGCAGTAGAAAATCCCTACTGCAATTCATTCACAATTTATATACAATTCATTCATATTTAATAAATATTTATTGAAGATGGTTCTAAAACCAGGATTTGGTTCCAAAGACAAAGCATAAATTGAAAATTGGATATGGGCAAAATTACCCTAGAAATACCTTTTTAGGAAAGTACCATGTTGGAGACCCATATACCACCTCTTGGTTCATAAACCCAATACAGCCAGTCTTTCTCTTCAGCATTGGATCAGATCACTTTCTTCAGGTGAGCATGTAATGAAGCAGTTGGCTGGGGATTAGGAAAGCAGTCTTGTTTGAAAAATTCAACCAAGTAGTAGAATTGAACTCAGCATGGTGAGATGCTTATACTATGAGAGGTACTTGGGAACTGAGACAGATTGGAAATTACCAGATGTGGGACTTCACTGGTGGCACAGTGGTTAAGAATCTGCCTGCCAATGCAGGGGACACAGGTTCGAGCCCTGGTCCGGGAAGATCCCACATGCCGTGGAGCAATGAAGCCCGTGCACCATAACTACTGAGCCTGCACTCTAGAGCCCGCAAACCACAACTACTGAGTCCACATGCCACAGCTACTGAAGCCCGCATGCCTAGAGACCAAGCTCTGCAACAAAAGAAGCCACCACAATGAGAAGCCTGCACACCACAATGAAGAGTAGCCCCCACTCACCGCAACTAGAGAAAGCCCACGTGCAGCAATGAAGACCCAACACAGCCAAAAATAAAAATAAATTTACATTTAAAAAATAGAATGAATGTCCTTATACATTAAAAAAAGAAAAGAGGGGCTTCCCTGGTGGCGCAGTGGTTGAGAGTCTGCCTGCTAATGCAGGGGACACGGGTTCGAGCCCTGGTCTGGGAGGATCCCACACGCCGCGGAGCAACTAGGCCCGTGAGCCACAACTACTGAGCCTGCGCGTCTGGAGCCTGTGCTCCGCAGCAAGAGAGGCCGCGACAGTGAGAGGCCCACGCACCGCGATGAAGAGTGGCCCCCACTTGCCACAACTAGAGAAAGCCCTCGCACAGAAACGAAGACCCAACACTGCCAAAAATAAATTAATTAATTAATAAACTCCTACCCCCCCCCAAAAAAAAAAGAAAAGAAAGAAAGAAAGAAAATTACCAGTTGTATATCTTCAACCCCTTGCTAACTCAAGGGTTTATGGTGACTTTGTAGCATGCCAAGTTAGCTAAGATGGAACTGCATTTCTCAGAATCCCCTTCCCTGTATGACTCTAGGTTAGGGTTAGTTAAAAGATAAATTTACATGAGATTTGGAAGGCAGAAGTAAAGCAGAAGACTTTTTTTGCTCTGAAAATCACTTTAGGGCCAGGCACTAATCATGGCGGCTCACCATGTTAGCATGGGCAAGCAGCCTGTCCTGCAGCGATCCAGCTCCCACCAGGTCTCTCCTTCAGCTTTTCTGAATCCTCAACTAGGTGCATGTTCAACAGTGTGGCCAAAGGTACCAGGTTATCCTACAGGTCATTCATATCACTGAAGTTGGATGCAATGAGAGACACATGCAGGTTCCACTTTGTCCTTGTGGTTCCACTTGTCCTCACCAGTTCCAATCTTTCCTTTACTCTATCCCATTTTATGACCACTTTCCTTCCTGACTACTGCACTGCTGACTTTAGGCCCAACACCAGACACAGTCTGCTTAACCAGCTCTTACATAATTGTAAGAGCTAATGCCCATGATAAATCCCATATTTTCTATCAGTTATAGAGGTTCTGTTTCTTTGATTTAACCCTAACTGATAAAGGACTGGTGGTTAAAACTGAAATATTTAAATCAAATTATTCTCTTTCAGCTTTACATAGACTTGAATTCACATAAATTAAGCGCTTATGCACAGCAACTCTATTGTAAAGCTATGTTTAACTCTCATGTTAGAGGTATAAAGACAGTGTAATAGGAGTACAAGGGGAGGGAGGTTACTTCTGAGATGATTGGTCTGAATGCTTAGTAAAGAGGTTTGGGATTTACTTGGAAGGTGTAGATGGTTACTGAAGGCTCTGGAATAAGAGGATGACTTGATCACTCACATAGACTATTATATTCTTCAGTACTGTATTAAAATGGAGTTGGTATTTCATTACATGGCATAAAGAATCCATATGTCAGAAGGCAACTAAACAGTTGATCCTCAAACAGCACGAGTTTGAACTGCCCGGGTCCACTTGCGTGCAGATTTTTTTCACTAAACATATCCTATAGTACTACAGATCCTGGGATAGTTGAATCCACAGATGCAGAACAGCAGATATGGGGGCGGGGGTGGGGTGGGGGGCTGAGAGCCAACTGTAAAGTTATAGGGGGATTTTCCACTGCAGGGAGTGTTGGCACTCCACACCTCACCCTCTCCTCATTGTTCAAGGGTCAACTGCAATCAGATAAATTTCTGAGAGAGATGAGGCAGGGGAAGCTACCAAACAACTAAAAGGACAAGTGCTAGTCTTGGGAAGACTGGCCCCAGAATAATTAATGTCATTGGGAGTGACTGCTATTTATAAACTTTTGACAGACAAAATGGCAAAGATGTAACACAACAGACCAAAGATAAATTAGATAATATGACAAATGAGAATACTTTAAGACTAAGCTATAGAATGATATCCCAAGGGAGAAATGTAGGAAAATTCATCAAGTCAGACTATTTAAAAAGAAAATATTTCGGGCTTCCCTGGTGGCTCAGTGGTTGAGAGTCCGCCTGCCAATGCAGGGGACGTGGGTTCGTGCTCCGGTCTGGGAGGATCCCACGTGCCGTGGAGCGGCTGGGCCCATGAGCCATGGCCGCTGGGCCTGCGCGTCCGGAGCCTGTGCTCCGCAACGGGAGAGGTCACAGCAGTGAGAGGCCCGCGTACCACAAAAAAAAAAAAAAAAGAAAGAAAATATTTCTAGTAATAGATAGCACACTGTCACCATTCTACCTGGCCTAGCTGCAGGATAAAAGTCATACAATAGGACTCTCCCATGTTTAATAGATGTGACCTCAATGAATAATAAATATGATAATGATACCCATGTATATAATATTATCTATTTATGAATACTAAGTTAATATTTATGCTATACTCATCTGACCTGTCATTCTTATAAACACTTTGCACCTTTTTTTCCATTTCACATAAGCTAAAATAAAAAATTTTGCAATTGAAGATCTGAGTTTACACCTGATGTTAGCATAAATAATTGTTTGACTGAAAAAAATGTTAATACTTCAGAGCTCCAGTTTTTCATTCATAAAATGAATGAAATTCATAAATGCTAATAGAGGAAATTCCAGTATGCTTAAAGAAACAATGGGAAAAGTTAAATGAGAAAAAAATTTTGGCTTCCAAAAATACTAAACTCGCAGTTACTCACCCAATTTTACCATTATATTGTACCATTCTGCGTACCAAAACAAAATGTAATTTCTATAGAGAAAAGAATACTTCTTGACTGTTTTTTAAATGGAGACTACTGATAAATGAACATACTCTGAAAAGAACTGAAATGTAGTTGATTTTGGCATTGTGTGATAAAGTGGTCAGCCAACTCACTTCACACAATACACAAAGATTAACTGAAAATGGATCATAGACCTAAATCTAAAAGTAAAACGATAAAACTTCTAGAATAAAATGTAAGAGAAAATCTTGCAATCTTGGGGTTTAGCAAATATTTCTTAGAACACAAAAAGCATTAATAATAAAAGTTTAAAATTTCATAAATGGAACTTTATTAAAATTAAAAACTTTTGCTCTGCAAAAGACACCATTATGAAATGAAAAGGAAAGACATAACAGGAAAAAAATATTCACAATGCAAATATCTGACAACTGGTATACAAAATATATATTTTTAAAATATTCCTAAAACTCAATAATAAGAGGACAGCTCAATTTTTTAAATGGTCAAAATGTTTGAACATATATTTTACAAAAGTAGATATACAATTGGCCAATAAGCAGATGAAAAGATTCTCAACATAACTGGTTATTAGGGAAACACCTATTAACACCACAATGAGATACCACTGCAACATTAGAATGGCTACAATTAAAAAGGCTGATAACACAAGTGTTGATGAAGATATGGAGTAATTAGAACTTATATTCTGCAGGTAAGAATGTCATGTGGTTCAATGTACTTTGGAATACTGGCCCTTTCTTACAAAGTTAAATATACATCTACCATATGACTTATCCACTCTGGTTCTAAGCATTCAACAGGAAAAAATAAAAATGTATGTTCACACAAACTGTTATACATAAATATTCACAGCAGCTTTATTCACAATAGCCAAAACTGTGAAATGAC